ATAATGAGCTAGAGCTAATGACGTCAGAAACTACCCACTCCTTCCTTTTATTTATTTACTTATTATTATCTTTATTTTTTTTATGTTGCCCTTTGTGTTTGTTTGTTTTCTTCTGTTGGTTTTTGTTTTATGTCCCATACTCATGTAAGGAAACTGCTTGCACAGTGTACAATTTTTATTTTTTTTCTCTGTTTGTGAAAACACAAAACTAATAAAAATGTTTGAAAAAAAATAAAAAAATAAAATAGAAACTACCCACTCCATTTTTTTCACACTTTGCCTGCTGATAGGCCCTCCACAGTCCCAAATGTACACAATCAAATTATAAAAACTTGGTTTAGCATAATATGTCCCCTTTAGAATAATAACATTTCCACATTTCCACATTTCCACGGTTCCTGGTTTCTTTTTCTTCTGGACGTTATTCTTAAGAAGCAAAAGCTTCCAGATGTGGTGGATCATTAACGATGTTACTAACTGGACTCTCTCCCTTTACCCTAGTCCTCTCTCCTATCACTTTCTGGATCTGTAATTGGGAGTTACTACTAGTTACTACTGTCCCCGTGTTCCTGCTCTGCTACTACTCTGCATAGTCTTATTGCTATGCTAACTGCTATCATCATCTTTAGTCTCAATATTATACCCTATTTCAACAAGTTAAGCTAGCTCCCTTTGTGTCCTAATGTAATGTCTGTGACAAGCTTTGGTCAAAATCCCATAAGGATGAAGCCCAATAGCAGTTCAGTCCCCCTGCCTAACCCTAACCCTAACCCTAACCCTAACCCAAAACAGCCCCGTTCAGAGCGCTCGCTTTGGAGTGCCTATCTCTTTAAATGCAAATGAGACACAGGCAATCCACCCACTTCTTCAGGGAGGTGTGCCCACGTCGGCACGCTAATGCTACCATGCTAACGCTACCACGCTGACGCTACCATGCTAACGCTACCACGCTAACGCTACCACGCTAACGCTACCATGCTAACGCTCACATTACCATGCT